TTTCTGACTTTCACTGTAGGAGATCATCTGAATCTCAAAGTTCGTTGGGTAGCCGGACTATTTTTGGAATTGTTGAATCGGGCCTTGAGATCATTGGGTCACGTGTGGTCTGGGTACAGGTGCATCAAGCGAGCGTGCACCTATTGTTGTCCGTGTGCAAGTCTGTCGGGATTGCACAGGTCTCTGCACATTGGGGGTTGTCTGCGTACGGGCGGTGCGCGTGGGGTGTAGCATGCACGTCGGACGCTGGGAGCCGACATCGCTCGTCGGGCGCTGGCATGCAGGGCTCGCGCGTCACTGGCGTGCAGGGTTCGCGCGTCGGGCGCATCTGGGAGCGTGCGTCGCACGTCGGGCGCTGCCAAAAATCTCGCAGGGTCTGCGCGTCGATACGCGGGTCTCGCCGAGGATCTCGCAAGTTTGCACTGGTGTCGCTTGGGTTCTCGGGGTCTGCACGAGAGTTGTGCGTCAGAGCTCGCGGGAACGTGTTGTGCGTTTGGTATGCCAGTCGCGAGGATATCGGTCGTCAGGAACGAGAGATCGCACGATTTGCTGGGCGCGTCGGGTCTCGCCGGGAACTCGCGGGTGGCTGAGGGCTGCTCATGTCTTATTCTCAATTGATGAATAAATTTGTCGGGATGCAAATAACTAAACCTTATGATCTTCTGATGTGTTTCCTCTACACCTACTTCGAGTGGTCTTGGTGGTGCGACTAAACGAAACTCCCAAAACCTTTTAATATATAAAACTCAATTTTTATCTCTCTTTTACGACTAAAAATCAGATCACATACATGTGTAGGAGTGTGGGACTTGGTGTATTTATAGCCTACAACAGGAACCCTACGAAGGTGCTAAATATGGGCTTTTCCAAATATAAATAGACGACCTTTATGTCTTTCAGTTTGTTAACATCTAGAAGACCTTATGTCTTTCAACTTATTAACAATCTAGAAGGCCTTATGTCTTTTAGCATTCTAGAAGACCTTATGTCTTTTACCCATTCCTTTATTTGGTTAAATAATAAAACATTCAACTAGAGTATTATTATTGCACTCCCATTTAGCTCTGAATTACTAATAACTTGTTCTCGTTAATTTAATTTATTGAATTACATCCATATGTTTAAAATATAACATCTATTGATTAATTAAATTACTGACAATATAGTTAATCAATCTCTATCTAATATTAGTACCACTCAATTCTTAATTATTATATCGGAAATTAATTCGCCTGCAGGGTTTAACATAATAAACCTTCCTGAGCTCATTTCGGAGATGTCACCAACCCTGCGTACTTGAGTATATGTTTTACCGCAGTCCAATGCCCCGGTCCTAGGTTACTTTGATATCTGGCTACCATGCCTACAACATAACAAATAATGCGTATACACAACATTGCATAGATAAAGCTTTCTACTGTTGATGCTTAAGGAACCACCTTCATGTCCTCTATCTCCTAGGTTGTCTTTTGAGACATTCATTTAGATAGTGGGATTTCATGTCAAAAGGGAAATTACCCTATCATGGAATCTAGCATGTTGAAAAGCAACAAGACAACACCTATGTACGAGGATTGAGATAAGCACAACTCACGGTCTCGAATGACCTTAATCTCAAAATGTATCCCGCCTCTCCCAAATCCTTCGTATCAAACTGCTTGGACAACTATATTTTCACGTCTGATTACTTCTTCACATTGTTTCTAGTGAAAAGAATGTCATCCACATATAGCATGAGAAAGACCACCATGTTTCTGCCACTTTTCTTCTACACGCAGTGCTCATCTAGATATTGGGTAAATCCAAATAACTGGACAACCTCATCAAAATGGATGTTCACAGACCGCGAAGCTTGCTTCAGTCCATAAATAGACCGATTAAGCTTACAGACCAGATGTTCTTGGCCTTTTGCAATAAAACCCTCTGGTTGTTGCATATAGATGTTCTCATCCAGATTCTTGTTAACAAAAGTTATCTTGACATCCATTTGTCAAATCTCATAATCCATATGAACGACTACATCCAATAGAATCCTGATGGACTTAAGCATAGCTACCGGCAAAAAGTTTCCTCATCATCGATACCCTATTTCTAAGTGTACCCCTTTGCTACTAGCCTAGCCTTGAAGGTTTCAACCTTCCTGTCTGATCTTCTCTTTCTCTTTTATACTCACTTCCATCTGATGGTGCGAACGCCACTGAGTGGCTCTACAAGGTCCCAGACCTGATTGGAGTCTAATGACTCCATCTCAATCTTCATTGCACTTCGCGATCTTGGAGTGCCCCATCATAGGTCCACGGGTCAATATCAAGTCCTTCTGGGACGGCCACAGAAGACTCTCCCAGAAACATGAATTCTCCGGGCTACCTGACAACCATCTGACTACGACGAGGTACTACCGGCATAGGTGCATCGTCAGTAACACGTGTTGCAGTATTATGTGATATTAGGGGTGAGTAAGGGTCGGTACAGTTTGGAGAATAAGAAATCTCCAGAACCGTACTAAAATTTGGAGATCACTAAATTCGATCTTCGAAACTGTACCAAAAATTGGGATGATTCGGTTCAAAGATTTTTATTTTTCGGTTCAGTTCAATATTCGTGACTATCGGAATAATTCAATTTGGTATGGTTCGGATCATTGGATATTTTTTATACTTTTAAATTGAATGACCACCTAGTTATATTTTAATTTTTATATGCATTAAGAAAAGCAACATTCATCAATACTTCATCATATTGAAGATTTTATTTTGAATCAACTTTAGAAGTAACTCTAAATTTTAGTTATTTAATATTTATATGCTTTAAAAAAAACCAACATTCATCAATACTTCGTCATGTTAAAGAATTTATTTTGAAATCAACTTTAGAAGTAACTCTAAATTTTAGTTAATACTAAATTTGTGCAACAAATATTGAGAATTTAAAATTCGAACAAAACATAATATGTTTTTTCTTAAAAAACTATTCTTTAACCTTTCATACCATTTTAAATAATTTTTTTATAACAAGAAAAAATCAATTGTAGATCAAGTGCCACTAAGCATGAACTTAAGTGAAGCTTAATCGTTATTACTATATTTTATTTCCTTTTTAAACTTCTCAAATTATATAGGATCAAAGTTGACATAAAATATATTAATAACACACATCTAATGTTATAACTTAGTTTTTCGATTAGGCACAATATGTGACGGTTCGGCTTTCGGTACAGATATTTGTGAAATTTCCAGAACCATACCAATTATTTTTCTGTTCAGTTTAGTTCAGAGAAAGTCAAACAGTCAACGGGTTATCTTTCGATTCGGAGAAATTTTGGTTCATTTTTCAGAACGGTTTGGAATTCTCCGAGTCCCATGCTCAGCCCTATGAGGTAAAATATCAGGTGCACTTGGTATTGAAGTATCAACCCCTTTTATCTCCTCTAGGGTATGTCTACTATTCATAATATAGTCTTCTTCCAAGAACCGAGCGATCGTACTAACGATCACTATCTGGTCCTTGGGGCTATAGAATAGTACTGCCTTCGATTCCTTAGAAATATCCAAC